CTAAAGACTGACACACCTTCCATATTTCTTGCCATTCAAGAAGATTTCTAGAAGGTTTCATCTTGTCACATGTGTGTCTCACAATAAAGTGTACTACATGTGTTACTGGAGTTTTGACCTCTTCAGACAATTCCCCTTCTCCTTGCACCTTTGAAATCCCTAACCTGTAATCATTTCCAGATTAATGCTAATGGGGAATCTCTTACAAGACATCTTTGCTTAATTTGCAATACTTACGTACTTTGTTACAGGGAGCAAGGGATGTGGGCGGGGGTTGGACGGATGTAGGGAGTGTCGTGTGGGCAAAAGGTGTGGTGCTGACACCATGGCCATCTGGAAGGCCAGTGGGAGCTGAGGACCTAACAGTGAGAGCAGACTGTCACCTCATACATGCTCCTGATCTCTGCCAGTGTCTGCGAGTATGTGCACATAGAGAGACAGAGAGGGATTGAGCACAAGGAAAAAATGAAAATAAGGGAGGGGGGGGGGGGGTTGTATGGCCATTCAATACAACTCTGCATATCCATCAGCTGCCTATGTTTATACAGCAGACCAAGTGACAGGAAAATCCATTGAGATATAAAATAAATAAAAAACTCAGAGGAGCAATGACAGATGGAGAGAAAATGAGATATCACAAGTGTGTCAGATCATATTGACAGGGGCATCTCTAAACAGAACTACTGTTCCTTTGATATTAATCACATGACCTGAGCCATTTGTGTTCACAAAGCACAGAAACCCTAGAAAGGAATGACAAATATGATTAGCGAGAATGATACAATAGTGTGTGTCCAACATTGTATTTTTACGTTAGATCAGGGTCTTTCTCTCAGACTAAAGCTAATGGTAAACCTACTGTGAAAATTTGTGAAGATTCTCAGTCATCCAGGTCATAGGTGTCCAAAGAAGGTTAAAATTTTAACATTCTTTGGGTACTGTGAAAATTAATTTCAGCGGTTTCTTGCGGACAGAAGGAGGCATTTGGGTTAGAGTTAGTGAAGAAAAACAAAGCCTCCACAGTGTGGACAGGCAGGCAAGCTGGCTAGACCAATCAAATCCTTCGCAAACAGGTCCCCACTGCATGCCAGAGTGCAGCTGGAAGAAAAACATCAGAGGTGCACCAACAGAATCTACAACATCAGTACTGGTGCTGATAAGGCACATTCATTCTCATGCTCTGCACTGATCCTTTTCTCCCTCAGGTTATTCAGAAAGGAAATGACAGTCTTTATAGTAAATGTCCATCCATCGTCAACCGCTTATCTTGCGTACAGGGTTGCGGGGGGCTGGAGCCAACCCTAGCTGACATCGGGCAAAAGGCAGCGTACACCCTGGACGCAGGGCCACACATAGACAAACACACACTCACACCCAAGTACAATTTACGGTCACCAATTAACCTAGTCCGCATGTCTTTGGACGGTGGGAGGAAGCCGGAGCACCCGGAGAGAACCCACGCAGACACGGGGAGAACATGCAAACTGCACAGAAAGGCCGCGATCTTCTTGCTGTGAGGCGACAGCGCTAACCACTGTACCAACGTGCCACCTATAATAAATGTAAAGAATAATAAAATATAAAATACACAACTTGAGGTTTACATGATGTTGAGTTACTTTATATTAATTCATTTCTTTGATGCGTACTTCCTTGAACTAGTTGACGTATTTAATGAAATCCTTAGACTGTTTGTATGGTTTATATGCACCTCTATTAAATATTTAACAAATGGTGCTTTCCTTTTTCTTTGTTCAGTTCTCTCTTTTCTCTTGTCTTTGCCAACATCCTGTAGTCAGCTTTTTCAAAATTACTCATTCTGAGGCATTATTTACTTAGCTTGTTAAAATGATATCTTCACCTTTATAGCCAACCAACTCTTTAGACTGGTATTCCCTCACCTGAGGCACTCTTAAGGTTTTTGTGTAACTGTGTGGTTGTAAAAGAGACTGAAAGTGGATCTCTTTCCGGTAACGTTGCAACTAAAGATTATCATCATTATCTTATTATTAATGTAATTATTTTCTCTATCAATTAATTGATTGTTTGGTCCATGAAACGTAACTAAACAGTGTAAAATGCCCATTTTCCAGGCCCAAGGAAACATCTTCAAACGGCTTATTCAATTTCACCAATACTTAAACAAAAAGCCGAAAGATTTTAAAGTGAAGGCTGCAACTAACAATTATTTTCATTACTGATTTCAGACAATTATTGTCTCAATTAGTCGTTTGGTCAATAAAATGTCAGAAAATGATAAAACAACAACAACAAAACCACCCAAATACTCAGTTCACCATCACATGCGACAAAGAAAAGCAGCATATCTTCACATTTAAGAAGCTGGAACTATAGATTTTTTGGTCTTTTTGCTTTAAAAAAAAAATGTAAACAACTAAAACAGTTGCTTAATTTTGTGCTGATCGTAATCGATCAACTTATAATTTCAGCTCTATTTTCCTGGTTTCAATGTGTTGTGGTTACTTCTTTATTCCTACACCACCACTGTCAAGGAGTGCACATAAACAAACAATGCAAAGCTGCAGTAAGTGTACACAAATTTGTAGGCCATGCTGCTCGACTGTTTCTGCTGCAAGGAGAGTTTGATGTTATCACAGGACTGCCTTAAGCATGTTCAGAGCAGGTCTTAACACAGTCTGGGTCTATTGCCTCTTGCATTGTTGCCTACACTGTAGGTCAATGTGCACATTAACACAATAATGTACACAAACATACTAGTATGCATACAAACACATACGCAGTGAGACCCCTTGGCTATACAAGCGCTCTCCATGCTTCCACTATAATATATGTTGTTTATTTGCTGGATCTGAGCTAGCCAGCAGCACTACGCTGATGCAGCCAAGCGTAGCCTGCACTGGACACACACTCTGTCAACGGCAGTAAGCAAGCAGAGCACTGCACTGCCAGAGATATGGAGCAACAAATCTATACCCCTCACAGAATGGGATGGTGTGGTGTGCTACAGTATATGATAGAATTTGATAAACAGTGGGGGTCAGGAGGCAGGTCAGCACACCATTAAGTTATTCTGACAATTTTGATCCATTGCAAGCAATATTGGGACAAGGCACTGGGCGTCACCTAAGAAGGGTAAGAAAAAAAACAAAGGAAAAACCGGCAGGAAGCATAAAACAAACACAGACTGTCTTTACTGCAGGAGATGAGAAGAGATAAGACACATCAGAGGGAGAGTGTGCTTTATCAGAATGCAACGAGATACATGGAGGAGAAACTCACTCCCTCCAGGGAGAAGGGAGGAGAAGGAATGGGCAATACACATAGGGACAGCTGATTATAAATCATGCAGAGCTGCATTAAAAGAAAATTAAACAATAATACTTTTTGACTTATTGCAAGATTGTAATACTTGTAATGACTAAAACCTGTGTGGATAATTTTGGACGATCCTAGGGAATGGACATGGAAGGAAAAAGAATGGAGTTTTAATATTCTGCTTTTTACTGTATATTTATGCTCTTGACCATATATAATGGTCTTCAGCTCCGCAAGGGGAGTTTGGGACTCGATAGGGGGAAACTAAGGCCTTTGTTTTAATTAATAGTTAAATTATCAAGTAGCTAATGACTTGGTAAATATAATGGGTTAATAGCTCAGCAAGCAAGATCAATGATCTGATTTTCATTTTGTTAAGCTGGAGAAAGTTCCAATTTAGGCATGCACAAGAACACGCGTGTATATATAGTATGGACTATGTATCTGGGTATGTATTAGGGCTGGAAGATATGCTGAATATATTCGAATATAATTTAAAGTGTGATATTGCAGATGACCATATCGTCGTGTTCGAGTTTTTAGTGCTCACGCTGGTCGCTGATGAGGGGTGTAATACGGAAACGGACAAACAGTGAAACGCAAGCTAGCTTGCTGCTGCGGGTAACTGTGATTTTTTTCACAGGGGCGGAAAGAAATCCCAAGAAAAAACGCAATGAATCATCTGATTGCTCTAATTATTTTACCACCACTTCTGGCTCCGAAACGTATTTGGGATACCTCCATCTCTAGGCTATTTTAATTGACTTTAGCCCGACTTGTAGCTGTTAACTAGCTAGCTCTTCACAGTGTAGACCAACTCTGCTGTAAAGGGCAGAAGACGCCGTTATCTTACGGCGGCAAACAACACACACTCTTTCAGTAACCATTATGCTGCAACCTGTGTAACATTCCTACCCCCCATACACCGGGAAAGACTCGCATTTGCACACAGATTACCCAAAAAGCCACCTTCATTAAAGTGGAAGGCTTGGCCCGTAACACACACGTGCAGTTAGCCTGTGGGTGTGCTAACCAGGGGTGGAAGAAGTATTCAGGTCGGATGAGGGACGAACTGTCTTCTAGTATCTTCAACCAAGTTCAGTTGCCTTTGACCTCAACCTTTGTTGGATATTCAGGTCCATTACTTAACACCAACCTCTCTTTGAAAATATTCCACTACAAGTAAAAGTTCTGAATTCTAAACCTTGCAAAGGTAAAAGCTTGCAAGTACTATAGCAATATTTACAGCATTCAATGTGCAGTAAAATGGTGCCCATCAGCATTTTACTATTATACATGATGTATTTGGTTTCATATTATTGCTGCATTAATGTGTATGTTGCATTTTACTGCTGTGGATGTTTAAGATTGAGCAATTTTTTACTATGCTATATACTTTTGAATAGTTTAATCTACAGCAATGCATCATATTCTATGAGATCACCATATTTGCTATTTGAGAATGTACGGTATGTTATGTTAGGCAAAATGTGTTTATCGATATACCTATGGTGTATCACAATACATCCTATAAATATCGCAATATTATTATAAACCATATTGTCGAGCCCTAGTATGTATGTGTGAGTGTGAGCTGTTTAGTGAAGAGCACAGAGCAGTGGCCATTCCTGAGATGGGTTTTCCATTAGATTTTAGTATGAAGTAGTAAAACTGACCTAATATCACATCTTAGTTGTACATACCGGTAGGTCATTTTCTGTAAGCCGATGATCCTGATGTTTGGCAGTCTGTCATGTTCACAGAGTAGCTGTTAGAGTGTAGGTCAGCAGTCTAAAATGAAAGAAAAAAAGATAAACTCTAATCTCTGTAATAGACAAGAAGGGAAAATGATTTTTGTATCCTTTATATCTTTAAAGGTATGTTGGATCATGGTAGTTTCATTAAAACCATATGGACAGTGAATTCATTAAGAAGAAGTATTTCAAATGTGTGTGTGTTTCAGGCCATGCATGTGGGCATGAGACCAATGAGGCAGAAAGGATGCCAGTAGCCTTTGAGGAAGGAGCATGTGTCCGGCATCCACCACTGCTGTGCTGGGTCACAGATGTCACCTGCTCCAGCAGCCTGCCTCACACCACTCGCCCTCCCCCACCACTTGCCCACTTGTAAGCAGCTCTAACACTGGTGTTGTTTGTTATTTGGATTCTAAATTGTTGTTTTCTTTGAAAATTTTGATTCACACATGTGTCACTGATCACAAGTGTCCACAACAGATGCTCAGATTAAACAAGAGAAGTGTGTCCAGGGCTACTGGCTATATTATGTGGCTGTGGCCTTGCCAAGTGCTGACACTGCAAGTTCAACTGAATTAAACACTGCTGGCTGGTGGGTTGGAGGCATTAAACACAGTAAATTAGCCTGGAAAGAAGCCTGGCAGAGGGAAACATACTTAGATAATGTCAGCCACAAGATAAAGTGTGAAACCACCATCCCACAAAATAAAATCAGCTATGAGACAAAGAACTGTGTGTCTACGCGTGTGTGTGTGTGTCTGTCTGTGGCAAGAGCATATAGACTGCTAATCTTTCAATGGTTTGGTCATCTTTTTGAGGGGGCCTGAAATTCCTTTTGCACGCCTCACCACTTGTTTGCTTGAGACGCAGAGAATGCTTTACCACAGGAATCCTCCATGGAGATTGTTGATGTGTGCATCTTTCTCTCACACACACACACACACACACAAAATGTGCCCACCCACACGTCACTGACATTTCTTTTCGGAGCATCTTTAAATTACCACGCATATTAGTGAAGCACTGCCAGGAACTCTTTTTATTATTCCTCTTAATCTTGTGTGTTTATGGGGTCAGCGGCTGCCCCCACTCCCCCCTACGCCTTTCCCCTCCCCTTCACTCCTCCGCTCTATGCTCTCCAGCTCCCCTCTGCTAGCAGAAACAGACAAGTGGTTACACTCCCATGGAGCTCCTACTGCACTGCACCGACTGATCAGGATAGGACAGCATGGCACACTCCTGCTACACGCCTGCCTCCTCCCCTGCACTTGCCGCCAACCAAACCCACTTGCTACCAACTGTGACTCACTTCTCATAAAAACCAGCCAAGCAGTTCTACATGCCAGTTCAATGTGTCCTGATTTTAATTAATAATCTGGAGTATTTTTCAAGTCTTTTGGGTTACAGTTGGGTGTCTAATAGTTTATGATTTCAAACAAAGATTAAAGCGTCAGTATGCTTTAAGCAGAGTGCTTATCGGATCCTCGAACACCATCTGAAATCCCCTCAACCATTCCAAACTCTGAATTAAGGGGACTGCATTTCCAAACTTTGCAATCCGAACAACGTGCTCACTTCACGCATTAACTACAACTACACCTTTAGTGTATTCAACAAAGTGCAACACCATGAATGGCTTTAAAGAGACACTGTTTAAAACCTCTATTGTAACTATTCATCCATCACGTCCCTCTCTATGACAGAGAGCATTTCGTCCCATTTTTGACTGTGGCCATTCGGAAAAGGTATAAATAAATATAACACGTTAGGATGACACTTTGTATGAATTTGTTTGTTTGAAGCCTACTGGACCCTGCACAATAGGCAAAAACGGTAGCCAGTAGCCTTGGTAGCCAGTCAAGATTGTAGTTAATCACTGAAATCAACGTAGATAACATGTAGTTTTTAAATTCTTGTTGACTTTATAATAATAAACCATTTGCCACTTGCCATTTCAGAGTTGGATCTGTTTGTGTGCGTTTCATTTCGCATATTAATATAACATGTGCGACCGCTCTGCAGCTCAGCGGCACTGGACCTAATGTTGTTCAAGTCAGCTGTTAGCCAAAAAGCTAAAGGAAGAATGGAGAACAAGGGAGAGAAGCGTTCTTTCCACAGCTGTAAGTACTGCAATTAGATCCAGCTGTGTCACACTCAGATATGCAAAGAACTTTGTCTTCCGTTGTAAACTTTGTGCGACCAGTAAAAAGCTTTCAACCGCAAACAATTGAAATTGAAGCACCTACTAAAGCAGCACAGCAACGTGAAACGTAGCCTGTATAAATAAACTCCGGCAGCTAACATTACTGCCAGTGAAGCATCCACTCTGCAGGAGAGTGGCGTTAATCAACGTTCTGCATTTTGTAAAAGCACTGAATACTAAACTTATGCATGCATGTGCAAAACAGTAACGTTAGTTCAAAAGTCGAGACACTTTTTTTAATCTCAGACAGTGGCGTTAAAAAAAACGTTATGTTTCGTAAAATCATACTCGTTGCTGCATTATGAATACGATTAGTTAAAATGTCAGGGGGGACCTGCTTTGTTTTTTATTATTTTTAAATAGCCCATATACATAGCCTGTATGATACAGCACCCTCTGGTCTGAGAGGCTGCCGTGTTTTCAGTTCGGCTGGTTGTTGACTCCTCAGGTTAATTATTGTTCCTTTACAGTGGATTCATTTAAAATGTGCTGCTGAACAGGTTTCACGTCACTTTAAAGGATGGGGTGCGGTGGTTGAAAGTAATTGTAACGTAAAGAATAACATGACTATTTACTTTTAATACCCAGTAATAAGTAAAGTAATATTGTTACTTTTTAAATGAGTAATAAGAATAAAAGTAACTCATTACAACTTCTGAATAATTTGCCCAACACTGCTGCTAGATATGGCGTATAAACTGATATGCTACGAAAACAAAGTGCTACTTTCTGCCCCCTAGTTGCGCACACACCTCGGGGATGACGTTGCACAGAAACCTGTCTATACACAGTTTACTTCAGAAGGGCTGGATGGTTCATGGATGTGTTCCAGGATAAGTAACTTACTGGTAAAAAAAACCACAATGCTGTAAATATTGCTTGGACATTGTGGGCACATGTTATTTGGCTTACCAGAGTTCCTCCCAGAAAAGTTGTTAAGCCTGGTGGCAAGTGTCATTTTTGATGGGGTGCCCACTGCCCTCACAGTTTGGTGGTGTGTGGTCATTTTGAAAATCAGTTTGTAAAGATTACAGATTGCCATGCTGTTGCTCCTGTATTACTCTGTGTACAGTAATGCAGCTAAAACCTAGGGCTGAATCGATTCATCAATTAAAATCGATTAATATGATTACCAAAAAGCTTTGTTTAATCCATACAACTATATAGCACACTGTTTCGCACGGACATTTATTACTGTCGCACTTTGCACTTACGCTATGTGAATACAACATGATTATGATGGCGCGAAAATAGCGAGGGACGAAGAAGAAAGAGTCCCAGTTATGGGATTACTTCAAGCTAAAAGAAAACAACAACTCTGCAATGTTACAGTCTGTCCACCGTAAAACTAAATTTATGTCGCCTACCGCAACAGCACAATGGAATCTGATCAGAAAGCACCAGTTCTAACATCAAGTTCACTGAGCGGATCACAGACAAGGTAACAGAAACAGCAACTTTAGCATTTAACTGAAATCATGATTGATTGATGAGTTTCAGGCTAGCCAAAGTAAACGTACTTCTTAAATAATGCATCGATGAAATAATCTGTAGAAGCTTCAAGTACTAAAATCACCGTTAGCTGTAGCCCTACTAAAACCCAAAAGTGCATTGATGCAAGTGACAAAATCTGAGTTAACTTGAAGTCTTCTCGACAGATGACTCATGACTCTTCAATCATGACTTTTAGAGGGCAGCCCTATAAATGCCACCCAGCAAAGTGGTCAACTTAGGCCCGGCAGGCTTGCAATAAAATCTTCTTGTATTGTCTTTTCAATTTAAGGTTTGGAACAAAGTGCTCAAGTTTAAAGAGGTGGTATTATGCTCATTTTCAGTTTCAAAATCTTAATCAGGGGTTGTACCAGAACAGGTTTACATGGTTTAATTATCAAAAAAACACCATATTTTTCTCATACTGCACATTGCTGCAGCTCCTCTTTTCACCCTATGTGTTGTACGCTCCGCTCTTGAGCTACAGAGTGATGCATCCTACTTGTACAAAATCTTTGTTGGGAGTTGCACATGCGCAGTTCCCAGGTAAGGACTACTAGCCAATCAGAAGCAGAGAAGGGCTGATCGTAAGAAACAAGGTAGTGTGATCCAAATCAAAGCCGCTTCAGACTGCGACTGTAAGCAGATGGTATAAGTTATTACCAGTCCACAACCACACAACATCATTGTTCCACATCTTACCTTCAGGACTGAACGTTGAACTGTTGCCGGTGTTCTGACGATCTATGCTGCCTTGCCGAAAAATGCTACCATAGCGCAAATCGACAGACTCGACTCTACTCGACCCTGCTCTGTTTTCCATTGTAGATAGTACCCAGAGATGGTACGTAACGTTAGCTTGTCATAGCGACGCCACACACAACTGCCGCGACGTAATGTTCAATGCGACTTTTTATATACAGTCTATGAATGCGACACACACACCAGCGATCCACACAGCTTTCTCTTTTTTAAGTTAAAAGACAGATAATCGGTATGAAAACCTTCCAGCTGTGTTTTCCTCTGCCGTTGTTGCTGCAGCGGTTTGTGTGACGGCGGGAGCAGAGGGCTCTATGAGCGGGCGGCTGGCCGGCCTCACACGCTCCTCCTGTGGGTTGGCACAGGGATCCTCGCAGCCACTTGCGGAGCTCCTCAACTCCGAAAATATTCATGTACATTTTTGTTCCGCCATCACTTCTCGTGAAACTGTCAATATTCGAAATCTATACATCTCATTTCTCACCTCAAAACTTCTCAGAAGTGGATTTAGTGATGAAATACCATACGAAAACTGTAAAATATAAAACTTTCTGTTGCTGGCCTCTGTCTGGCGCACGCAATGA